AATAGGATAGGATAGGATAGGATAGGATAGAATAGGAAGAGGAAGAGGAAGAGGAATAGAATGTAGATTATAGAATAGAACAGAATAGGTTTATTGGCCAAGTGTGAGTGGACACGCAATGAATTTGTCTCCAGTGCAGAAGCTCTCAGTGTACATAGGAACAACAAAGTGATCCAAGAAGCTTCTTCAGTGAAGAAGTTTCTTAGATGAGAAGCAAAACATTTTCAAGAGAAAAAAAAAACCCAGGAAAATCCAGTTGCCTTTTTTGGGGAAAAACCCCCCACTTTTGGGACAACCATGACTTGGATGATTGAGAATCTCCATAGACGTTGGTTGTAATGGACATCTTAAAAAACAACAGCAGGTCTATGCTAGGATCTTCCTTCCCATCTGCCATCCTATCACCAACACCAAGTATTTCCTGCCACCCAAAACCCGCCACCCAGAGTTGGCAGGATATGACCGATCCGAAACCACATCCTTCAACTGCCGCATCTGGAAGCAAAGCAGATGTTCCCTCTTTGGGAGCTGCTCCATCGTCTTCCCCATGTCCGATCTCCTGCTTTCCTCTCCATCCAGGGCAAGAGGGAGTTGCTAACATCTGGACCATAGCAGCTGATGCCTCTTCCATCTTGGCACTGCAGCCAACAACACGCCCGCCTGCAGTCTTCCCTTTTTAGAGACTCTGTTCCAATGTTTACAACTTCCAACACGGGCCAACTAACCAACTAACGGTGGGAGCTTGTTTGTATCCTAGTTACCACAAAATGTTTCCCCCCCAGTTTAATCAGAACTGCCTCGATTGCGTTTCTCTTTCGGTTCAGCAGAACTGAATTCTTCAAAGATAAGAGTAGAAAAACCACTCCCATGTTTCAGTTATAGAAAGTTTAGGTTTGTATTTTAATGCTTTTCTTAAAAAAAGAACATTACGTGCAGTTATTCTGGATGCAGAATAACAATGGAGTGAATAAAAACAAAATTGATTGACCAAAGTTTATGGCCATTACTTGTTTTCCCAAAAGAACATGTTGTTCTTTCCCCTTAAAGACACGGACTTCAGAGGATAATCAGAACTGCAGGAAAAACTATGGCTACCAACCTGCCTTCCATGGAGGACCTGTGTACTGCACGAGTCAAAAAGAAGGCTGTGAAAATATCTACAGACCCCTCGCATCCTGGGCATCAACTGTTTCAACTCCTACCCTCAAAATGAGGCTATAGAGCACTGCACACCAGAACAACTAGACACAAGGACAGTTTTTTCCCCAACGCCATCACTCTGCTAAACAAATAATTCCCTCAACGCTGTCAAACTATTTACTAAGTCTGCACTACTATTAATCTTCTCATCGTTCCCACCACCCATCTCTTCCCACTTATGACTGTATGACTGTAAGCTTCTTGCTGGTATCCTTAAGATTTATATTGACTGTTTCCCTATGTTTATCATTAGGTGCTGTACCTTATGATTCTTGACGAATGTATCTTTTCTTTTATGTACACCAAGAGCGTATGCATCGAAGACAAATTCCTTGTGTGTCCAATCACACTTGGCCAATAAAGAATTCTATTCTATTCTATTCTATTCTATTCTATTCTATTCTATTCCATTCCATTCCATTCCATTCCATTCCATTCCATTCCATTCCATTCCATTCCATTCCATTCCATTCTAAATTATATTTCAGAGAGATAGAATAAATTGTTGGTTTTCTTCCTACTGATATCCAAACATATATTTTCTGGGCTGAAGATCTAACTCGGGCACCAAAACTCCAGAGGGAATCTCAAAATTTTAATCAAAACCAGAGGAGATTTCCAAATAAGGATTTTAGTGTTTAAACAAGGAACACATTCTCTAAGCCGCCCTGACTTCTGGCAGGCCATCTTCTCAGCAGTATAATATTTGCTTTGGTGGCTGATGGCTACCCCTGCTTTGAACTGACCAACCCCTCTTGGAGGTCTCAGGAAAGAAAAGACTGAAGATAGATGCAGATACCAGCACTAATGGGGAGAAACATAGTAAGGTAGTCCTTGACTTACGACCACAATTGAGCCCAAAGTTTCTGATGCTAAGTGAACCGTCTTTTAAGTGAGTTTTGCCCCATTTTACGACTTTCCTTGCCACCGTTGTTAAGTGAATCACTGCAGTTGTTAAGTCAGTAACCTGGTTGTTGAGTAAATCTGGCTTCCCCATTGACCTTGCTTGCCAGAAGGTCGCCAAAGGGGAATCATGTGACCCCGGGACACCGTGACCGTCACAAATATGAGTCTTGATAAACACAAACATGATACCTCTGAATCACGGTCCGAAAGGTATCCGAACAAACAACATTCACCAATTTGCGTCACATAAAAAAAGGTGTTTAAAGGCCAGTGCTCGGATAGACGAGCCCAACTCAAAGCGCACTGACGACGTCTCCTCGAATGGTGACGAAACATTTGCAACCAAATTGCCAACTTGGAGCTCAGATCAATCGCCTGCAGTTCTTACGTTGCCCATTCCAATAAAGTTTTTAGCGCTTAAGTTGCTCTCTAGCTGAAACCTTCTTAGCCACTGTGAAAATAAATAGATTTTTAGCTGTTGGGCGGGTCTACTTTTCCTTCCCCTGCTTTTGAGATATAGTAAAGGGAATGGTTCCCCTCACGCATATGTGCTAGTTGTTCCTGACTCTAGGGGGCGGTGCTAATCTCTGTTTCAAAGCCGAAGAGCCAGCACTGTCTGAAGACGTCTCCGTGGTCATGTGGCCGGCATGACTCAACGCCAAAGGCGCACGGAGCGCTGTTCCCTTCCCACCAAAGATGGTCCCTATTTTTCTACTTGCATTTTTTACCTGCTTTCGAACTGCTAGGTTGGCAGAAGCTGAGACAAGGAACGGGAGCTCACCCCGTTACGCGGCACTTAGGGATTCGAACTGCTGAACTGCCGACCTTTCGATCGACAAGCTCAGCGTCTTAGCCCCTGAGCCACCGTGTCCCTTTTGAGACATAAGAGATCCACAAATAGGGAGGTCACAAGAGTGCAGAGTTAGAGCCAAGCTGCCACAAACACAGGAACACCCTCTATCACTACCGCTATGTATACAGCCACAACTCTTCGTACAAAGTGACCTCATGCTCTATCACAACAATTTACCTTATACGGCAGCCTGTACGTAGTAAATCCTTCTTCCGTGCTTGGAGGGCTAAATAGCAAGTTGAAAGCTTAATTTAAAGGCGAAAAGAGTTTTATATCGGTTTGTTTTGATCCCTGCTTGGAACCCTTTGCCAAAAAGGAATTCTTAACTGGTTTCCTAATCTCACTTCCTCTTACGCTGAACATTTATACTTGGACCGTCAAAAGCCACTCACTCTCAACTCACAAATGAAGACCCAGTACCCGTATAGAATTTCACTAAATTGCTTTTCCACTCTCAATATTTAGACTGCAGCACCAGAATCACACAGTTCAAGCCATCCAGGATAACCCATGGTTTAATTCAAGACACCGGTGGTACGTTCACAACAACCGTTTGTCCTACTGGACTTCAACATGACAGAGCTCTTATGCCATCTCCAGTGGCAATTTGTTCCCCTGTCAAACTGCAGCTCTCGTCAGAACCCTTAAATATTTGATGGGTGCTATGACAGCTCCTTCTTTGAAGTGTAGTAGAATGGAATTTATCATCTGGCTCAGCCAGCGTAACTTGTTGGCTGTGTTTTAAGAGAGACAGAAGTGCAGTTCCTGTGGCTAATGAGAACTAAATTTAGGACACTACACAGATACTCAGTTTCTTGTTCCCAACTGTTCAGTCAATAAAGCCCTCAGGAGGAATGGTAGAGACTGAGAAGGGTAGAATTAGTAGCAACTAATCAAGGAGAGAAGCAACTTAGAACTAAGGAGAAATTTCCTGACACTTAGAATAATTAACCAGTGGCACAACTTGCCTCCAGAGGTTGTAAATGGAGGTTTTTAAAAAGATGTTGGATAACCATTTGTCTGAAGTGATGCAGGGTTTCCTGCCTAAGCAGGGGGTTGGACTAGAAGACCTCCAAGGTCCCTCCCGACTCTATTCTAATTTTCTAATTTACTTTATTTTCCAATTTCTTGTGGGTACGATTACGAAGGGCTTGGAGTCCAGACAAACAATACGAAATGCAGACTATGGAGGCTGAAGATGCTGAACCTGGAAGAGCAGTAGCTAACTTGGGGTCCAAGACTCAGGAAGCATCTCTTCTGACTGAGCCGTCTTATTAAAATGGCAGATGCTTTCACCAGCTAAAGCTCACTTCATCGAATACGTTGAGCGGCTGGACGGATGCAAGGTTTAAGTTGGAAAGGAGGACGTGGGGAAGGGAACGGAAGTCGGTTGCACTGATGCAGATTGTATGAGGGAGAGACTGCACTTCTCAAGGTCCATGTGCTAAAATCCGTTGGGAAGGTTGAGGCCTCCTGAGGTGGCCTGAAACCTTTTGAGATAGACTGACCTTTGGCAATCTCTTGCTCAAGGCTGTTTTTCATGTCTGGTTTTCTCCCCCCAAAACAGTGGCTTTGAGGTATGTAGCAGGGTGTCATGGGGATTTAAATACTCTGATAAGGTACTTGTAATCTCTCTCACATGCAACTCTGCATCATCAGAGAAGAGCAACAAAGATGATTAGGACTTTGGAGTCTAAAATACACAAAGAACAGCTACAGGAATTGGATATGTCTAGTTTAATGAAAAGAAGGACCAGGAGTGACATGATAGCAGTCTTCTAATACTTGTGGGGCTGCCATAAAGAAGAGAGAGTCAAGCTATTCTCCAAAACACCAGAAGGCAGGACAAGAAACAATGGACGGAAACTCATCAAGGAGAGAAGCAACCGGTCAGGATCGAACTGCTGGCAGTCGGCAGAATTATCCTGCAATTCTTGCATTCTAACCACTGGGTCACCTGGGCTCTATCTAAGTATTATTACAGCCAGTTCTTGGGCATTTTTGTTGAAGAAGTTGAAGAACCAACCGAAGAGGGACCTACCTGATGACAAAAGGCTCCCACTGCTGCCGCTGATAATCTTCCCTTTGCTTCCCATGTTGGCCAGTTTGGAGGTCTTCAGCGTTCCGGTTTCCGTCAAGTCAATGGCGATTTCACTCAGGCTTCTAGTCGCGTGGATTTTGGACTGAGGAGAAAGGAAACGAAGACATCCGTGACTAAGAAAGAGAAAGCTTCTCTTGGATATTTCCTTCGGTGGGTCATCAGAAGGTTTCAGCACCAACATCTTATCACCTACGCATGACAGTTTGTCAAAAGGAGGAAGAACCTTACGCTCCTCCCCAAAATAACTGAGGAACGTCTTCTACATGACCCTGGTGCTAAATACATGTTGAAAGTCCTGAGGTGATTAAATCATGATGATGATGTTGATGACTTCTTAACAAAATCATTGAATCCGATTACATTACCAAAATCACATGAATGTCTAACTTCGGCAGTGACCTAATCGATCTCCACTCATGCCCAACACCCAGAAAGTTTCACAAGTTCCATCCAATACACAAAATAAATGAGTCATGGTCTAAGATAGCGGGTTTTTTTTCAAACTTGGCAACTTTAGGACGTATGGATATCAACTCCCAGAAATCAACTCCTGGAAATTTTCAACTCTGGGACTTGAAATCCACACATCTTAAAGGTGTCAAGTTTGAAATACGCTGGTTTAAGACAACCAATTCAGAGAAAACTACTGTAGTTTCTTAAGCCGTGCTCCTAAATGTTGACAGAACCTATCATTGATTATTAATGATAATAATTATTATAATAAAAAATATTAATTATTTTTTTGTTTGCTAAAGATGCATTTTTATAATCTGTATACTGCACGAGTCAAAAAGAAAATATCTACAGACCCCTCACATCCTGGACATCAACTGTTTCAACTCCTACCCTCAAAACGATGCTATGGAGCACTGCACACCAGAACAACTAGACACAAGGACAGGTTTTTCCTGAACGCCATCACTCTGCTAAACAACTAATTCCCTCAACACTGTCAAATAATTTACTAAGACTGTATTACTATTATTCTTCTCTTCCTTACTAGTATCCGTCTCTTCTCACTTATGACTATAACCATGTTTCTTGTAGTATTTGTGATGCGTTTTTCAATGTCCAGTTGACTGAGTTTCATGTTTAATGAATAAAGTACATAAAGGAGGAGGAGGAGAAGAAGAGGAAGAGGAAGAAGAAGAGGAAGAAGCAGGAGGAGGAGGAGGAGGTGAAGGTACTTGAATAATAATAATAATAATAATAATAATAATAATAATAATAATAATAATAATAAGTTGATACCTAAGACGCTGGCAGCAACCCATATCAACCATTAGCATGAGTCAATGGTATTTGTGATGCGTTTTTAAATGTTCAGTTGACTGAGTTTCATGTTTAATGAATAAAGATAATAATAATAATAATCCTGGAATAAGTGAAAAGATCTACAAAAGGTGAAAGATTATAATGACCTGAAGGAAGGCATTGGAAAATAATGTCATATTTGCTGCAAAGATGTTCCAGAGTTAATAATCTTAGAAGAGTGATTTGATAGGATGGCACTGAGAAAAATTAACAATTAACACCTCCTCTCTATTTACTTAGGAGTAAATCCTAGAATGTTCTTTCTGGCTTCCTTCCAATGAGCTAAACTCTGAATTCTCAAATGTGTTTGCAACGCAGGAATGTGCAACTTTTGGGAATATTTTGTCTCATATTCACTGAATGTTTCGTCCAGAGGTATAATGCTTAAATTTTCTGCCGATTCATTACAGAAGCAGTTTTTTTTTTTAAACGACAGAAATAAAACAGATGCCTTTCTTATTCTCCATATGGCTTTGGGTCCTGCAGGGTTGACTTCGCTGTGCTATTGTTAATTGTTTCGATCTCTGGTGTGGAACGAGAAACGGGATACGAGCCCAACGTAAAAGTGAGGCATTCTCCCCAGCTTGGAGAATGGATCCGGAGGCTCACACTTCACATAATCTATTCACTCCTGTCATCAAAAAAAAAATAAGGGCTACTACCTCCCTTGTCAAAACATAAGTTGCTTCCTGCTTTCGCCATTTATCTTCGTCTGACAAGGAATCCCTTGGGCTGCTAAGAGGAGAGAGGGTTCCTGCCACGTATGTGGACTCTCTACCTCCAGGACAGAAGGCCGTTTACTCGGGTTTAAAGGACAAAGGAAAACCGTTCTGGGAATTAATAATAATAAAAAGAAAGAAAGAAAGAAAGAAAGAAAGAAAGAAAGAAAGAAAGAAAGGGAGGGGGGAGGGAAGAAGGAAGGAAGGAAGGAAGGAAGGAAGGAAGGAAGGAAGGAAGGAAGGAAGGAAGGAAGGAAGGAAGGAAAATTAATGTGAGGTAAAGGAGATACATGTGCAAGAAATAACATTTCTTCTTTTTTCCTCTGGTTGAAAACTGCATCCTAATTTCTTACAATTGCTTCGGAAACCTTTTGATTGAAAACTAGGATGAAATCTTTAAATAAAGGCCAGTTTATTTTAAAAGAAAGAAAGAAAGAAAAGAAAGAAAAGAAAGAAAAGAAAGAAAGAAAAGAAAGAGAGAGAGAGAGAGAGAGATGGATGGAAAGAAACAAAGAAACAAAGGAAGGAAGGAAGGAAGGAAGAGATAAATGGGTGGCTAATAAATTTTATATATGAAAGAAAGAAAAGAAAGAAAGAAAAAAGGAAGGAAGGAAGGAGAAAGATGGGTTACCAATAAATTTTATATAAGAAAGAAAGAAAGAAAGAAAGAAAGAAAGAAAGAAAGAAAGAAAGAAAAAAGGAAGGAAGGAAGGTTCAGATGCAGCCCAGGAATTTAAGTCAACAACTGAACAATGATCACTGCATTGTCCAAATATGCCAACATGCCTCTTTGACACCCTTGCTAGAGAATGGTGTTTGGGCACTACACGTAGTGCACAACTTACTACTGTTGGTTTAGTGACTGTTCGAAGTTACAACCGCACTGGAAAAAAAAAAAATCTAACGACCATCGCAGCCTCCAACATGTTTTCTAACAATCGCTGATTTTTAAACAATACCTGTCGATGTTTAAATCAGCCATAAATAATTATGATTGTGATAATTACTTAGGTTCTTTGTTACAGTTTTCATTCCTCTCAATTCCGGCTTGGAAAAAAAATATTTTGCATAGGGCTAAACAAATACCAAAATTCCAGGTCTCAATTATAAACATCACCTTTGAAGAAAAAACAGCCACTAAAAAGGAATTTCCTTCCCAACGTGGACGGATTCATTACTGGCCGGATGATGGAGTCAAGGTGATTAATGGTGGTTTACGGGAGCCTTTTGAAACCCAACTCCTCCAATAAAAGATTTTAATTATTTCTCAGGGCAAAATGGTTTCCTTCAATATGGGGTCGTCTATAAATCTCATGGTCTGTGTGCCCGTTCCAGATGTCTCTCATTGAAAAAACATTTTAAATATTTAAAGCAACTCTTTCCCAAGCCTGCCAAGCCGTTTTGAAGGATTTCATTAAAAAAATGAGCTTCCAGCCAGTTTCATTTTAAAAACCTACAAAGGATTCCTAGTCCTCATTGTGTGCGTCCTTTCAGATAGACTTTCCTTACTTAAAAGTTCTATCTCCAATAAGAAAAAAAAAAACTTATAATAGGCAATTCTTATATAAAAATCATACTGTATTTCCCAGTTAGCTTTAAGGAGCCTGGATAGCTCTGCAGACTAAGCACTGTAATTTAACACCAGCTGTCTGCAATTAAAGTAAGTTCGAATCTCACCAGGCTCAAGGTTGACTCAGCCTTCCATCCTTTCTAAGGTAGGTAAATTGAGGACCCAGATTGTGGGGGCAATAAGCTGACTTGATATAAAATATACAAAAGTATGAAGGCTATTGCTTAACGCACTGTAAGCCGCCCTGAGTCTCCGGAGAAGGGCGGCATATAAATCAAATTTAAAAAGAAAAAGAACACTTTTATTTCCTAAAGATAGGAGTCTGAAAATGAACTTCTGAAAGCCAAAAGAGGGGAGGAAAATCCTATATATACATTTACTACAAAAAGAACAAATATCAATGATTTTGAATATATAATTGGCAAAATTAAAACTGCTTTATCAGATATCAGTGACTTCCTATTCTAAATTTAACCCCTACAAGTTCAAGGTAGTCAGTAATAAATAAATACACCAGTAAATTCAAGATATTCATAATTGATTGTCTCTTGAGTCTGAAATCGCCAGTTATAAATTCATTCGCTATAAATAAAAATTTATTTGTGACCGTTACTTAGGTTCTTTGTTACAGTAAAAGTTCTCATTCCTCTGCATTACTACTGAAAAAAAAATATCGGTGGTGCTATCAGAGATTTATTTCGCTTGGGCTAAACAAACATCAGGACTGCTATTATTTTTTAAACAATGGCCAAGCTTCTTATAAAGGAGAAATCCAAAGACTGGAATTTCAGATGTCGGAGGAAGAGGTTTATGAGCCTGTAGGTTATTGTGATTTGATTGTAAATTTAAAGCACTGTTTCCATAAATGAGCTTTAACTCCGGACATACTTTGACCGTCACTTGGGAAAAAAAGAATTAGGGTTTCCTGCTTGAAAGGGGGTTGGACTAGAAGACCTCTAAGGTCCCTTCCGACTCTGTTATTCTGGAAATCCACTGAACGTTTTTCAGCCCACCCGTAAGCCGAGGTGCTGCATTTCCAAAAGACATTTTCTAAATAATTTTGGAGACACAGGCCACCCTGCTGAATTCATTTGGCTGCATTTCTTTAAAAAAAAAAAAAAGAAACTCAAGAAGTTTTCGAACTCCCAGAGGAGTGCCAAGAAGATCCATCAAACCGCAAGGGCAAGGCCACCTCTGAAGGAAAGGAACATCGCTCAGAGTCATGGTGTTGAGCCAACACTTGCTGATTTTCTTTCTGAAACAAGACAGAAGCAAAATCTGCAGGATCTCCACGGCAGGGAAGGAGGGGGGGTCTCAGCCCAGAGTCCCGTAAAATTAAACACGATGCTTCAGCAGCGGGGAAAAACCAGGTTCACCGCAAAGGTAAACACTCATTTTGTTTAGAAGACTCTCAAGTACGGAGATCCTGACATAAACAGGATTAGCCAAACAATTTACAAGATTCAGAGGCGATGCCGGCTTACATTTCCCGTGCGGGTATGAACATGAAGCCCTGAAGAGTGATTAAACTTCTCTTTAAATCTTTGCTTAGAGCAAAAAAGAAACAGAGAAGGCTCCATAACACTCAAGGTTTATGGAATTTCTCAGTCGTCCAGGACATGGTTGTCCCAAAGGTGCTTTTTCAAAGGTGTTTTTCCTTGAAGAGGTTTCGCTTCTCCTCCGAGAAGCTTCTTCAATTTCGTCCATCCGCCGCCATTCACCCCGAACTGAAGAAGCTTCTCAGAGGAGGAGCGAAACCTCTTCAAGGAAAAACACAGAAAGTCCAGCTGCCTTTTGAAAAAAAGTACCCTTGGGACACCATAACAGCATGCCGTAATATTCAGAACTCCTATAGAAAGGAACGACAGTTGATCTAAGGGCTAACCATGATTTGTGAGCATTTCATCCCATCAGGGTAAATGGCCTGAAGGTTGCTTGTTCCTCTAGAGCAGAGGTCTTCAAACTTGGCAGCTTTAAGACTTGTGGACTTCAACTCCCAGAATTCTCCAGCCAGCTATGCAACAAGTCTTAAAGCTGCTGTTGTGGCCCGCCAGTGGCCTGCGCGGATTGTGGCTGATCCTGACGACGAGAAGGCTGGTGTGGTGTCGCACCAGCAGTCTGTGCAGCCAGCGCTCGAGTTGGACAGCGAGGAGGCTGAAGAGGATGTGGTGCCAGAGGCAGAGATTCAGCCAGGGCCTTCAGATCCTCCAGAGGCTCCTTCAAGTGAAGAGAGTGAAGTGGAGGAGCCTCTTCTCAATACACGAGCACGCAGGGCTGCCAAAAGGCAGGAGTGGTTACTCAGGAGGAGGTCTCCTCGAGAGTAAGGCTTGGGGCTAATTGGCCACTCCCTTAGCCTATTTAAGTTTGCACACAGCTGGCAAACGTTGCAGGAAACAACGTGTGTTCGTCCGGTCGTTCATTGAGCATTTGAGAGTGAATTTTCCTTGAAAACCTGGTTTCTGGTCTAATTGCCAACTATTGTAAGCCTTTATCTAATCTTTGGAATTTCTGGCAGGCCGTTAAGGACATTTTTAGTCATAGCCTGCATTTGAAAAAGACTGTGTTTGTAGTAAACCGAGTTGTTCAGAGTTTTGTGTGCGCTACATTTCTTGGGTTCCGTAGCTGGGGCAGAACAGCTGCCAAGTTTGAAGACCTCTGCTCCAGGTGATTGCAAACTGTTTGTGGTTTGTTTTGAGGTAGCGGCGAGGTTCAAGCGATGTTTTTCCAGTTAGGATAAGGCAGAAAAGGAACTTGTTTCTCAAAAATTTCAAAACAAACCCTAGATGGACGGTGTACAGGTTTGTGGCTTGGCCCAGGAAAATCCTGAAGTGTCTTTCTGGTTAACATGAGCTGAACTGCCTGTGTTGTCTGAAGATGATTTAAAAAGAGAGGAATCCGTGCATGAAAGAGAAGGAAAAGATCAGTGGTGGATTCCTCCCGGTTCGGTCCGGTTCGGCCGAGCCGGTAGCGGTGACGATATGACATCACCGAACCGGTTCTCCCCCCCGCCCTTCCCCTCCCCCACCCACGTTATTCTTACCTTTTATTTGGTCCCACCCCCAATCTATTGCTGCCTCCTGAGTCCCAGCTGATGACTAGAGGGAAAAAAACTGTTTAAACTCTTGCTGGGGGCTTCAAAGGGCCGTCCTACAGCTGATCAGTGTTAAAAGCAAACGAATGAGTCGGGTCGTAAGTGCGAGGACTTGGTCGTAAGTGCGAGGACTTTCCAGAAATGACCCCGACCAGCTAGCCACGCCCACCTAGTCACATGACCTCCAAGCCACACCCACAAAATAAGCCACGCCCACAGAACCGGTAGTAAAAAAATTTAGAACCCACCACTGGAAAAGATGTTTCTGCAGAAGCATTAAGTTGACTCAATTCATCTGAATGCAAAACCCAGATAAAATTTCTTGGGAATAGATAGTTTCCTTGACTTGCTATCTGACTCAAAGCCAAAATTCCCTATTATCAAATGTAATAGGAAATCCTGAAGCTGGCCTATCAGAAGAGCTACCTTGGGCACAGTACACAACCATGAAATTTCCCCATAAAAAATGATTACTGAATCTGTGGATGATTTTAACTTATTTTTATGGAAATTGTCGCTTTTCTTCATTGGAACGATGAGCGCTATTGACCACTGGACTCCTGCAATACCAAGAAACGTTACGTCTAGTACCCATTGACTTACAAAGGACACATTAGACAATTTGATCCAATTCGTGGCCTGGAAAGGTCCAATTCGTAGATTGAAGAGATCACCACGTTCTGCAAACCACGATTTCCTACGCGTTTCTCCCTCTCAAAGAACCTGCAGACCCTTGGCTACAAATCAAAAGACTCAAGAGTTGAGGAGAACAGATTTCAACCGTATGTGGAAGTTCACCCCGGTTCTGATGACTCATGAGTTACGTAAAAAGGAATCGCAGAATGGCCATAAAAATCACAAAACCGAGTCTCACTTTGGCCATGTCACACGAGGGGAATTCGCTGGAGAAAGCAATTATGTTGGGAAGAGGAAGCGGTCAAAGGAAACCAGGCCATCAAAGAGCATGGTTGGCTGAACCCCATCAAAGGCAACACCAGCCCGAACATAGAACAACTCAAAGAAGTGGTGCAAGATTGGAAGATGTGGAGAAACCTAGCCCATAGAATCACCAAGAGTTGAACATGATTGAATGGATAACCTCCTCCTCCCTCCTCCTCCTCCTCCTCCTCCTCATCTTCATCATCACCAAAGAACAACTCAAAGAAATGGTGCAAGATTGGAAGATGTGGAGAAACCTAGCCCATAGAATCACCAAGAGTTGAACATGATTGAATGGCTAACCACCACCTCCTCCTCCTCCTCTCCTCCTCCCCTCCTCCTCCTCATCTCATCATCACCAAAGAACAACTCAAAGAAGTGGTGCAAGATTGGAAGATGTGGAGAAACCTAGCCCATAGAATCACCAAGAGTTGAACATGATTGAATGGATAACCACCTCCTCCTCCTCCTTCTCCTCCTCCTCATCATCATCATCACCAAAGAACAACTCAAAGAAATGGTGCAAGATTGGAAGATGTGGAGAAACCTAGCCCATAGAATCACCAAGAGTTGAACATGATTGAATGATAACCACCTCCTCCTCTTCCTCCTCCTCCTTCTCCTCCTCCTCATCATCATCACCAAAGAACAACTCAAAGAAATGGTGCAAGATTGGAAGATGTGGAGAAACCTAGCCCATAGAATCACCAAGAGTTGAACATGATTGAATGGCTAACCACCACCACCCTCCTCCTCCTCCTCCTCCTCCTCCTCATCTTCATCATCACCAAAGAACAACTCAAAGAAATGGTGCAAGATTGGAAGATGTGGAGAAACCTAGCCCATAGAATCACCAAGAGTTGAACATGATTGAATGGACAACATCATCATCAGAACATCCATGTTAGACCACCGTATCCAAAAACCAGAAGGAATGGAATCGTACTTTTTCAGACTAAAACTTCTATGAAAAGGAAGACGCATTCATGAATGCCTTTCATTCCTCCGAAGAGGTCCTTCTACATCCGTCCTTTTCTCCTCATTCCATTTTCTTCCAAGGACGTCTGGTTGGAAGAAGGTCTACACAGAAGTCTACACTGAACCGTTCTCTTCCCTCGGCCGCTTACGGTCCTTACCTTGCTCTGCTTCCTGTCCAGGTAAAACTGGTGTTGACTGATGGCCATAGCCCAGATGGACTTGATCAAGGCAGGACAGGCATACCAAGTGTGCACAGCAATTCCACTATGTCCGAAAGTCCTCCTGGTCACTGATGCCCTAGAAGGACAGAAGAAGAGCAGAGTCAACGGAGAAAGGGACCCATGAGACTTTCTTATGGTAGGACACGCGTTCCCCAAACTTTCCGTGTTGGAGGCCCCGTACGGGGAGGGGTGGATTTGTGTGAGGAGCAGGCGTGTCACGAGTGTGAGTTGGGCTGTGCGAGGGTGTGCCCGCTGGTTTTACACACACGCGTGCTTTGGTCTGCCACTCAGGCGGCCCGTTTGCAAATAGGCCATGATCAGGTAGTGGGATGCCGGCCCAAAGGATGGGTTGCCCTGCTGTAGGGCATCAAATGACTTAGGACCATTTTTCACACTTACAACCGTTGTAGTATCCACCCATGGTGACATGATCAAAAATTCACGCTCTCGGCAACTGACTCGTATTTATGACAATCGCAGTGTGTCCCCGGGGTCACGTGACCCCCTTTTGCGACCTTCTGACAACCAAACTCAGAACGGGGAAGCCAAATTCACTTAACAACCATGTGACTGACTTAACCATTGCAGGGATTCACTTAACAACGGTGGCAAGGAAGGTCGTAAAATGAGGCAAAATTCACTTCACAGCTTTCATTCAGCAACAGAAATTTTAGGCTCAAATTGTGCTCGTAAATTGAGGATTAACCATATTAAACTTTTTTTAAAAATAATTTTATTTATACTTTTTCCTTTAACATCCATAAATGCTTGGTGAAGAGTGTATTGTCTGGGTCAATATACTTTATACACAGTTCTACTAATAACAATATTATTTAAATATGCATAATCATAATCTTTCAACTTCTAATGTCTGTGTATATATAGTAATTGTAACGCATTCTATTATCTATATAGATAAAAACGAAAACCACTCACACCGTAATCACAAAATCTCCAGAATCGTAAAGCCTACAAACTTGAAATTTGCCATGTATGTTCCTCTTGGCTTCTAGATGTTCACTAAGAAAGAATTTTTTGAAATGACCATCAGAGCGTTAGTATTTCCTATATTATTATTAACACGCTCTGATGCTAAGGAGTTCTACTCCCCCTCCTCATCTCAAAAGAAATCTGTTCCAAATGCAAAACACAAGCAGAGGAGAGGAGTTTCACTTTCAGTTTTACTTTCACAGCAGGAAGCAGCTTTACTACAGAACACTTGAGCTAAGCCACGGCCAGCCTCCTTCCTGTCTCCTTCTTGCTCACCCAGCAAATACTGTTTGTGTTTCCAAACACCCCACAACTCTCTCACACACTGACAGGATGCTAGCCAGATGAATCCCGATGGATGCTGAGGGCTAGGACATTCTACTCCCCCTCCCACTCTGTTCCAACTGCCAGTTGCATTATATTAACACACTCAAGATGCTACGGAGTTACACATTCTACATTCAGTTTCAGGCTGCAAGTGTCAATTTATCAAGCCCCAGCACATAGATTCGTAGCGAAGCACGGGCGTCCAGCTAGTATGTCAATAATGCTTAATACTATTTTCCCCATTTCTGCTTTCTACTTCTACCTATTAAACTTTAAAGGCATTCATTTCTCCCATGAGTTTGCTCTCAGATCCTTCTGGCTCTCTTCTAAGTCTTTCATGCATCTCTCGTGAAATACTTTGCTACAGATAATTTTAAAAACAGACCTAAAACCAGCATGGTTGCAATTGCTTGGCTTCCAACTCCGGAGCCATTGAGCAATTCCATCTTAAAATACCATCCCTTTTGGCTAAAAGCCTAGAATCTGAAGTATGTTCCTGCTGGATCCAGATTTCCTAATTGGCAGTTACACCCTGGCTAATCTTTTTTTTTCTTTTTCTTTTTTTAATTATTGGATGAATTACATCAACACATTCTATGTTGATATTAATCTAATCTGGTATCCTTAAATGGCAAGGTGGAAATTTAAAATTCTGCAGAATTAAATGCCTTCCTGAACACAGAATATGGATATTTTTCCCCCCTTGGATCATTGAAATAACATGGAAAATTCCAAGATTCTAAGTTGGCTACGTTTTTGGTTATTATTGCGGTAGCCGAATTAAGGTGTTCCTTTTCCACAAAAGGAAATATTTTTGATCTGAATATTTAACATTGTGAAGTTTGCCAAGCTCGGAAATTCCTTTTGCTGGTAAATATCCAAATATTTTCCCAAATAATACCCTTGAAATGGAAGGAAATACTTGCTCAAGGCATTCCTACGTAGCTATCATAAACTCCAAAAATTTTAATTTCCCAATGTGGATGCTGTAAGGGATAAATTTCTAATAGTGTGTGATATAAATTTGTCTGAAATTTATTTATTATTTTATTTATTGGTTCGATTTATATGCCGCCCTTCTCCGGAGACTCAGGGCGGCTTACAATGCGTTAAGCAATAGCCTTCATACTTTTGTATATTTATACAAAGTCAGCTTATTGCCCCCACAATCTGGGTCCTCATTTTACCTACCTCGCAAGGATGGAAGGCTGAGTCAACCTTGAGCCTGGTGTGATTTGAACTCGCAGTAATTGCAGGCAGCTGGCAGCTAAGTGCTACTTAAAGCACTTTAGTCCGCTGCACCACCAAGGCTCTTTTTAGAATAACAGAGTTGGAAGGGACTTTGGAGGTCTTCTAGTCCAACCCCCTGCATAGGCAAGGAAACCCTAAACCATTTCAGACAAATTCTAAAATGTAGAAATTGAAAAAGTTGAGGAATTTTTTGTGACGGTCAGGGGCAGCTGAAAGTGTATCTTTTCCTTTATCCAGGTAGTCCTCAACTTACAACAGCTCATTTAGTGACCATTAAGAAGTTACAACGGCACTGAAAAAAAAAAGGGACGTCTGGCTGTTTTTCACACTTACGACCGTTGCAGTATCTCCCACGCGCACACATGATCAAAATTCAGATGCTTGGCAAGTGTCTCACATTTATGATGGTCGCAAGTGTCTTGATGGGGGGGGTCACGTGATTCCCCCTTTTGCGACCTTCCGACAAACAAAGTCAATGGGGAAGCCAGAGTCACTTAACAACCGTGTGACTCACTTAACAAATGTGGCAAGAAAAGTCGTAAAACGAGGCAAAATACACTTAATTATCTCACTTAACAACAGAAATTTTGGGCTCATAATTCGTGGTATGACTGGTAATTTGATGGATTTAATTTAATTTAATTTAATTTATCGAATTTCTATGCCGCCCAACTCCCAAGGGACTCTGGGTGCTTACAGCAAAAAATAATACAACAAAGAACATAGCATTGTTCTTTGCATTAATGAGCATTTATTTGCATATTCTTTTTCTCCATCAATGTGGACAATAAGTTTGATTTAATTCCTGCATACCGTAATTCTCTTTTAAAAGTCAGTTCATATCCATGAACCGGAGCGAACCGGTAGAATTTCACCCCTGGCCCAATCTCACTTGACAAAAGCCTCGCTTAGCAACAGAAGTTTTGGGCTCAATTGTGGTAGTAAATCAAGGACTAACCTGCAATCTACTAGGAAGACAATAGGTAAGCGAGAGCTATTCAAGCACGGCTAGCCAAGCAGGAATAAATCAGTTTATTCCTTCTGTGGGAGAGCACCCGAAATATCTCGAGAGTTCTTGGCCGGATTCCGAAATCAAGAAACCCCCCACCCCCAAAAGTCAAAAGCAAATCCTCTCGTTTGCCCAAAATCCCAGACGGACAGGCCTGGGTCATCGCGGGGAGCCGAGTTTGCAGAAACTCCCTTCGTCCTTTCTCTACGCTTATTCATTTCACCGGGATTGCACACAGGAATGTTTCCTCCGTGGACTCTGGCCAAACTCAACATTTTGGAGGAACAGAGAGTTTAGTCATAACGAGAGTATAATTAAAAGTGCACCGGATCTACAACAATTGCTTCTCCCTGAGTTTTAATCCCCAGCCTGTTGCAGAAACGTGGGGCAGCCCCACACACCGATATTCAGAACACACAGACTACATCCCCGGTTCACACAAGCAGCTGTGAAACGCATTATAAGTTGACAACCGGCAAGGAATGCACAGCCACACAAAAGACCCTTAATCACGACTCTTTCTTTGGGCTGAAAAACAACAGAAAACGTTCGGGATGCCAACAGTTTCACAGATTTTCAGAAGAGATTTTCTGCTTATGAACCAGTTTGCACAAAGGTGGATATCTGTAGTATAAACCAGGGGTCTCCAACCTTGGCAACTTTAAGACTTGTGGACTTCAAGTCTTAAAGTTGCCAAGGTTGGAGACCCCTGGTATAAGTGGCTACTCAAAGTGGGAGGTGGAGACCATGGAATCCTTGAGTTACAAACACTCATTTAGTGACCGTTCCAAATTACAACAGCCCTGGGGAAAAAAAGGAACCCATGATCATTTTTCAGACTTACGACCAATGCAGCGTCCTTTATGATCAAAATTCAGACCCTTGGCAAGTGACTCATACTTATGACTGCTGCAATGTCCCGTGATCCCCTTCTGCGAGCATCTGACCAGCAAAGTCAATGGGAAAAGCCGGATTCACTTAACAACCTTGTGTCACTCGCTTAACAACGCAAGTGGCTTCGCTGAACCACTGCAGCCGGAAGGACGTAAAATGGGACACAAAGCTCACTAAACTTGGTTGAAGGACAGAAATTTGGGGCTCAACTGTTAAAGTAGTATTTAGCTGCCAGCTGCCTGCAATTACTGCGAGTTCAATTCTCACCAGGCTCAAGGTTGACTCAGCCTTCCATCCTTCCGAGGTAGGTAAAATGAGGACCCGGTTTGTGGGGGCAATAAGCTGACTTTGTATAAAATAGAACACCGCTTAGGGGGCCCCAAAAAGCCCCCCTAAGCAGATATATACAAAAGTATGAAGGCTATTGCCTAAAAGCATTGTAAGCCACCCTGAGTCTCCGGAGAACGGCGGCATATAAATCAAACTAATAAAATAATAAATAAAAAACTGGTAAATCGAGAACTACCTTGTAACAATTTGAGAGAAAGTGCAAAGAGTAAAATAGAGACTGCAAAAAAATAAAATAAAATAAAATGAAATGAAATAAAATCCCATATGCATTTTTATTGCATTATCTAATTTTGCTGGCCAAGAGTGGAGTGACTGTTTATGTTCTCTGGACAAAAATTAAGCCCTGATGAAGAATAAAAGCTAGCACAGATATAAAAGGGCATGATATAATAACAACAGCACACATGCTAAATAATAGCAATTAAATTAAAGATAAAGGGCAGATGGCTTACAATAATAATGCTTCCACATCACCATTACTGTTGTAGGCAATATATTCAAAATGCAATTTTTTAAAAAAAATCCATACTGGGTGGGAACCATGGGATTGAAGTCACTTGTGGAAAATTACCAGTTGTGTGTGGTTTTTTTTTTAACGCATGTAGGGTGTCACAACTGTGAGAACTAAACCCCCTCTGGGCCATTGCTTCAGCAAGCCAAACGATTCCACAATTGCAGCAGGGGGCATAAAATGATCTCGCTTAAAGGCTTACATCCGTCCCCATTCTCTGAGCTAGCCCGGGATTACCACCCTGCAGGCTTTTGTCCCGAATAAACCCCAAATCACGCCAGCAATTGCCAAAAGATGAGAGAGAGAGAGAGAGAGAGAGAGAGAGAGAGAGAGAGATGGCTTTGAACTAACGTCCATTTGCAAGCGGGCGCCCGCGGGCCACGCTGCCTGGGGCTCCTCGAGGTGGGTGGGCTGCCCCCCCACGGACCCCGAAATTCTTCCATTCCCCGCCGCCCTCCTTCTCCTTCTCGGGCTGCACCGCTAAACCTCTTCCCTTCGTGGTTGATTTGTCGGGTGGGACGGCGAGGAAGAGGCGGGAAAAAAAAGAGCCCCCTCCCCGCAAACCCCAATTCCCACGCGTGAAATGCAAAACGCTCCCATCCCTGCGTGGGTGACTCAGCCGTGTCGTCCCCCCCTCCTGCTGCCTGCCTGCCTGCCGCCCCGTCTCCTCCCCACCTTCGCCTTACCTGCGTGGGTCATGCACCTCCACGGAGAACTTCTTCTCGCGGAAATAGAGGTTCTCCAGCTGGCGCCATTGGAAGATCTGCCGGGCGAGAGAGAGAGAGAGAGAGAAGCGGGGCTGAGCGGGGGCCGCCCTGGTCCTGCCCTGCGCTGCGGGGCCGCCCCTTGGCTGGGGGGAGCCTGGTTCCCACGCGGGGCCGGTGGGCGGACGAGCCGGCGCTGCTTCCCCGCCTTCCTTGGCAGCGCTTCGGGCTCTTTTCCTCCGAGCGAGCAAAGGAGCTGCTGGCTTCGTTCCTCCTTTGCTCCAGTTTCAGGGACCGGACAGCTCCGGATCTGGCGCCCCGCGCGGGAGATTCCCACGGGGGCACCCAGAGAGAAGGGAATGGAACCAGCCTTTCCTCCCCGCGTGGAAGAGCCCCATTCCGGATTTTTTTTTTTACAACAACAATAATAATAATAAATAATAAATAATAAAAATAAATAATAATAATAATAAAATAAATAATAAATAATAATAAATAAAATAAATAAATAAATAAATAAATAAATAAATAATAATAAATAATAATAATAATAATAATAATAATAATAATAATAATAATAATAATAATAATAATTTTATTTCTATACCGCCCTTCTCCCGAAGGACTCAGGGCGGTGTACAGCCAATTTAAAAACACAAGACACAACAATAATTAAAAATTAAAATAGATTTGGCCGATTTAAAACCCTAAAATTAAAATACCCCAATTTAAAATTATTATATTGACAGCCCAGCCTGGCGGAACAACAGGGTCTTCAGTGCGCAGCGGAACACCCGGAGGTCGGAGATCTTGCGTATTAAAAAAAATAATACAAAAATTTCCCCCCCATGTTCCCCCCACCCTATCCCCCCCTCCCCCCCAGACTTCCCAGCGCAAAATACAAGGTATTTCATATAATCAATCATAAACTAGATTAATCTACTTATCCTCGAAGTACTAACTCCCCCCCGAAACCTTAACTCCACTATAGATAACCTAATACTTCTAATACTAACATTCATTCATAAGCTATTTGATATTTTCTTGTCTGATACTTATTTTGAATATAATCAATACATCTTCTCCATTCCGATACGTATCTTTCTTGCGTGTGGTCCTTTAAGTACGCTGAGATTTTCGCCATTTCTGCTAGGTTTGTTACCGATTCCGAATTTTGAAGGACAAGGAATCAAGCATTTGTCTCGACTGTCTAACTCTAACCCTTGTCTGAAATGGTACTACAGGGTCCGGTGGTGAAATCCTAATTTTTTTTACTACCTGTTCTGTGGATGTGGCTTGGTGGGCGTGGCAGGAAAAGGATACTGCACAATCTCCATTCCCACCCCACTCCAGGGGAAGGATACTGCAAAATCCCCATTCCCTCCCCACTCTGGGGCCAGCCAGAGGTGGTATTTACCGGTTCTCTGAATTGCTCAAAATTTCCGCTACCGTTTCACCAGAACCTGTCAGAACTTGCTGGATTTCACCCCTAATAGGGTCTCCTTGAGCAGAGGGGGTGGACTAGAAGATCTCCAAGGTCCCTTCCACTCTCTTTCTGATTTGAAATTCATAGGGTATGGAAGCACCAAGGGAGTTTGGCTTTTCTTTCCAGCCGAGTCTAAAAAGGCAAGAATGGATAACTCCGGCTGCACTTTCTCCTCCAGCCTTTGGCATCCATCCGTTAAATCCTTTCTTTTCTCAAAGCTGAAATCATGCCTAGTTTAGGGAAGAGTTAAAGGCGGCATTCCCAAGCCACCTCTTCTGTTAAAGGTAAAGGTTCCCCTCATACATATGGGCTAGTCGTTCCTGACTCTAGGGGGCAGTACTCCATTTCAAAGCCAAAGAGCCAGCGCTGTCCGAAGACGTCTCCGTGATCATCTGGCCGGCATGACAAATAATTCCCTCAACACTGTCAAACTATTTACTAAGTCTGCACTACTATTAATCTTCTCATCGTTCCCACCACCCATCTCCTTCCACTTATGACTGTATGACTTTAATTTTGTTGCTTGTATCATTTGTACCCTATGACTATCATTAAGTGTTGTACCTTATGATTCTTGACGAACGTATCTTTTCTTTTATGTACACTGAGAGCGTATGCACCAAAGACAAATTCCTTGTGTGTCCAATCACACTTGGCCAATAAAGAATTCTATTCTATTCTATTCTATTCTATTCTATTCTGTTCTATTCTATTCTATTCTATTCTATTCTATGACTCAACGCCAAAGGTGCACGGAACGCTGTTCCCTTCCCACCAAAGGTGGTCCCTATTTTTCTACTTGCATTTTTTACCTGCTTTCGAACTGCTAGGTTAGCAGAAGCTGGGACGAGTAACGGGAGCTCACCCCATTACTCGGCACTAGGGATAATATCGGAAGGGCCGTAGTAGGAGCTGAAATCATTTTAAAAATTTTCCAAAACACAAGGATGGTTTGGTGTTGCTCGTCTGGTTCAGAAGAGAGGATCTAATCTAATCTAACCACCAAGGTAGCTCTCTTTTCTGTCCTCTTCCTTTGGAATTCAAAACATGCAGGAGGATTGCATCTGTAAAAGTTTCCAGTTTCGGTATGCCGAAGCAGGAGCAGAAGGGAAGGCACAAAGTGAGGCTTCTCGTCATGCAGAATCAGAGTCACAGGAAGGGAAAAATCCAAGATCTTCTCCCTGGTTTGGTTGCGCGCAATGTCTCTGTCTGGGCTCCTTGATGTGGTTCTAGATCAGTGCCAAGGTACCATGTGCTTGGACACTAGATCTCTGAATCCTCTAATCCAGTGTTTCTCAACCTTGGTAGCTTGAAGATGGGTGGACTTCAACTCCCAGAATCCCCCAGCCAGCGCTGGCTGGGGGATTCTGGGAGTTGAAGTCCACCCATCTTCAAGCTTCCAAGGTTGAGAAACACTGCTCTAATCAAAACAGGGTTCCAGATGATGCAGATAAAGTTAGTCTTGGGATCAGGCAAAGAGGTTCTCTACCAGACCTCTGGTCAAAAGGGTGGAGGTCAGAAGAAGCCAGGGTCGATCCAGGATGGCACCCATTATTGACCCAGTTTGGGTAACCTGAAGTTCACGTTTGGCCCAAATAGGATAGATTGAAAGCCAATTAAAGAAATCTATACAGGATAAGGAAGAAACCCCAAAGTGCTTTTCCAAAAGACAACTGGACATCCTTGTTTTTCTCTGAAGACATTTTGCTTCTCATCCAAGAAGCTTCTTCGGCTCTGACTGCATGGTTCTTGGATGAGAAGCGAAACGTCTTCAAAGAAAACCAAGAAAGTCCACTTGACTTTTGGGCAACCATGACCTGGATGATGGTGAATCTCCCTAAATCAGGGCTCTCCAACCTTGGCAGCTTTAAACCTGGAGGATGTCAACTCCCAGAATTCCCCAGCCAGCTTTGCTGGGAGTTGACGTCTTCCAGTTGACGTCCTCCAGGCTTAAAGCTGCCAAGATTGGAGAGCCCTGCCTTAGATGATAAAGAAGAATAAAAAGTGAGATTTCTCTTGCCATGCAGAGCAATGCCCTCTTTTAAAAGCTCCAGATGTTTGCAACTGTTGCTAAGAGTTTGCTGTTAATTTGCAGGACAACGAAGCCACAATCTTCCACTGGGTAGTCACAAGCCAGCAGGGAAAAACAACTTCTTCTTGCTAGGCTATCATTAACAGATTCCCTTTTCTGTCCCAAAGGCCCTGAGGGGCGGGGGGTGGGAGAAAGAAACATGTGTACAAGGTTGGGATTGAACCGTGCAGCTAAAGGACGTTTTCCTACGATGCAGAAACCAAAGCCAATTTAACGAAGGGCTACGGAGGTTTAAAGAGGGAGAATTTGTTTTATGAGTAATGTTATTAAAACAGAGGTTTTCTGAATTATTTTTCTGGAAGTCTTGGGGTTTTTTTGCGCGAGTAATATAACAGGATTCAGTATGGTATGGGAGCAGCTCTGTAGCGGACAAAAAATGCTCTACAGAGAATCATTAAAAATGCCCAGAATATCATCGGACTCCAGCTATCAGCCCTGGATGACATCTTCGCATCTCGCTGTTTGAGAAGTTGCATAACCTTCTCAGAGACTCTTCCCATCCTGCTTACAATCTTTTTGGACTGTTGCCTTCTGGCAGAAGATACAGAACAAATAAAAACTCAGACCACACGTTTTCTGAATAGTTTTTATCCCAGAGCTATAATTGCACTTAACCATGAACTAAAGGGCCACCATCCGTGAGCTGTTGGACAGCATTACTTGGTCTGCTGTGTGGATGTTTGGGTGGTTTAGGGGGCGGCGAATTGCGCAGGTGGGAGTGTGTTTGGGGATTGTTATGTGTGTTGGACCTGGTCTCTGGGTGTTATGTGAATTTCGTTGTATGGGTAGGCTGTGTATACACATACAATGACAATAAAGTTATTATTATTATGAGCTCAGACGTAGGAGACCGGAGGCTAAAATTAGGCGACTGGAAACTAAAACATATGAAGAACATCTACAACTTCCTGTTGTAGTTGTGTTTTTCCCACCCACCCCCAGGCTCTAAAACCTCATTTATTAGATATTTGATTACTTGAACAGTGATGTGTGGCATACTAGCAAAGGCCCACACAAAGCATTTTTTAAAAAAATATCTGGCACAGCTTTATTCTGAGTTTTAAGATAAATGCTAGACAAAATAAAGAGTGAACTGATTATGTTACCTAGTTGGGTCGTGAAACGTCCACAAGAAAACAACCAAGAGACCATAACTTAACAAATATTCTTTTCTATTGATTGATAGCTCTTCTACTGATCAGTATGCTCTATATACTCAGTTATGACCGATTCAGTGGCTCATAAACAGATTCTATGGAGAGATTCCCAGACACAGATGTGAGATCACTTCCTTCTTCCCAGTCATCTTATAAAATTAGAAACTCAAACTGGAGCAGGCCAGCTCTCTGGGTTACACCACCAGGAAGTGGTCATCCTCTGTAATCAAGGGCTTCTTCTCTGGGACAAGCACTTTCGGCAGGACAACAGCAGTTGTGGTTTTATCTGATGTGGCTGCTGGCCACTAGGACCTCAACACGAGAAGAACACAACGTCCTAATCTTAGGAAGCCCTTAGAAAATGCTTCAGCTCCACCACAAGGGGGAAAAGCAAGACTTGGATCTTCTCCTTGGTTCGGTTGTGTGCAAATACATGGGTCTGGGCTCCAGATGTGGTTCTAGATCAGGGCCAAGATACCCGTGTGCTTAAACAGTAGATCTCTGAATCATCTAATCAAAACAGGGTTCCAGATTATGCAGGTAAAGCTAGTTCTTGGGATCGGGCAAAGAGATTCTCTAGCAAATTTCTGGTCAAATGTTTGGAGGTCAGAAGAAGTGAAGGTCAATCCTAGGTGGCACCCGTTGTCTACCCAGTTTGAGCAACCTGAAGTTCACGTTTGGCCAAAACAGGACAGATTGAAAGCCAATGAAAGAAATCCATAAGCCGTTGTTAGTTTCTAGGCATGCTGGCTAATTATTTGCTCATCTGTTTTTCTTCGGGATAATCATTTGCTAAATATATGAAACCAGACACTAGAGGAGAGCTCTTGAAATAGGGAACGCTCTACTTAACACTGTATTGAAGGACACTGTATTAATTATTATCTGGGCATGCACCATGCCAATTTTGCTTCTTTAGGGAGGTTCTGGGAACTTTTCTACAGTGTCCCAAAGGTTCTTTTCAAAAGGCAACTGGACTTCCTTGGGTTATTTTGCCCTTGAAAACGTTTCGCTTCTCATCCAAGAAGCTTCTTCAATTCTGGCTGAATGGTGGAGAATGGAAGGATTTAGAGTAGAGTGGAGTGGAGTGGAGTGGAGTGGAGTGGAGTGGAGTGGAGTGGAGTAGAAAGTAGAGTAGAGTAGAGTAGAGTAGAGTAGAGTAGAGTAGAGTCAAAGAGAAGGGAAGGGAAGAAGGGAGAGAGAGTGGATTGGAGAGAGGGGAAGGGGGAAGAAGGAGGAGGGGAAGAGAAGAGACGAAGAGAAGAGAAGAGAAGAGAAAGAACAAGAGAATATAGAAAATGAATAGAATAGAAAATATGGAATGGAATGGAGGGAAGGGAAGGGAAGGGAAGGGAAGGGAAGAAGGAAGAGAAGAGAAGGAAGGGAAGGGAAGGGAAGGGAAGGGAAGAGAAGAGAAGAGAAGAGAAAGAAGAGAAGAGAAGAGAAGAGAAGAGAAGAGAAGAGAAGAGAAGAGAAGAAAGAGAAGAATTCCTTATTGGCTAAGTGTGATTGGACACCCAAGGAATTTGTCTCTGGCGCAGAAGCTCTCAGTGTGCATACAAACAGTAAAGTGATAAGTCATTGATCATAAATCATAAGACATAATCACAATCGTACGATACAAACAACAAGTGATAAATCATAAGATACCAAATAGGCGAAGGTAGTAGGAAAGGTGAGAAAGTTGAGAAGACTTCTATTTATATTCCTTAGCAGTCATCTGGTCATTAGCTCCTGAGAGTCGTTGAGGCCACTTGGGGGTTTATCTGTGCCCTCGGGGTTACCTAAATCAGAGTGCAAACGGGTGTGGAACCTTCTTGGGACTTCTGAAGGGATCGTATTGTAGACAGAAGATACGGTAGATGGTCTCCTATCTCTCTGTTGAGAGAGGACTGCAATTTGGACATAGATGGTCCCTTTGGCCCTTCTTTCAAGCCAGTGGTCCTCTCTGTCCAGAATGTGGACTTTGCTGTCTTCAAAAGAGAGGCCTTGGTCATTCAAATGCAGATGGACTGCTGAACCTTGTCCTGATGGACACAAAAATAAGACTTGTCTCCCCAGTCTTATTTCTGAGCCCAACGTAATAAATCGAACCGACTCTCTCAGCTATTACGTATTCTTTCCACTTTCTATTAAATGTTTCAGTATCTCTTAGGCTCAATACGGCTTAACCTCTAAAGCAAGTACACAAAAGCAAAATCTCGGCAATTAAAAGTTGCCCCAAGTGGTCCACACCAAGAAACACCCCCCAAATACACCTCAATGACCTCGGCAAATGTTGAAAAATGCTAAGCACAATCCAGCCTTTCTAGTAATTCGGAGGTCTTCAAACTTGGCAGCTTTAAGACTTGTGGACTTCAACTCCCAGAATTCTTTGCAATCCTTTGCTGGCTGGAGAATTCTGGGAGTTGAAGTCCACAAGTCTTAAAGCTGCCATGTTTGGGGACCCCAGTAGTAATTGGAAGGGAGGTCTTCAAAGAAATGCTGAAAGGTCTCTGGTTAAGATTACGGGGACGAAAATCCTGGAGAAATCCAAAGTCATGTTGCCTCCTTGGCCATGTAGTCATTAGGAGTTGAACTTGATTCAAAGGACCTCCATTTTGTGGTGTTAAGGCAGCTAAACAGGAGGTGGAACGGAAAGCAAATATGGGAATTAACCTAGCAATTTAATTTGGATTTCAGAACTTTACTCAAGAATTGAACTCATTCGATGGCAGTTGAACCATTCCAGAAGGCTCCTGTTCAAGTACAGGTAGTCCTCAACTTACGACAGTTCATTTAGTGACCATTCAAAGTTCCAACAGCACTGAAAAAAGGGACTTATGACCGTTTTTCACACTTACAACCGTTTCAGCAACCCCACGTCACGTGATCAAAATTCAGATGCCCGGCAACAACCGACTCGTATTTATGACAGTCGCCGTGTCCCTTTTGCGACCTTCTGATGAGCAAAGTCAAGGGGGAAGCCAGATTCACTTAACAACCATGTTACTCACTTAATAACAGCAGGGATTCACTTAGGAATCGTGGGCAAGAAACGTCATAAAATGGGGCAAAAGTCACTGAACAACTGTCTTGCTTAGCAACAGAAATGCTGGGCTCGATTGTGGTCGTAAGTCGAGGACTACCTGCAATATAAGATGCTTTGAGGAAGATCAGCCCAGACATTGGCTGCCAATGGAAGTTCTCAAGGATGCAAAAATGTCCTCTGAATAACTTCATGGACTTGCTTGCAACAGACGGATGGAAAAGCCATCATAGATGCTGGAAGAAAAATGTTGAGAAAGACCTTCCATGTTTGATCTCCATCCTTGATTCCTGCGGAATCAAGTTGATCAACCCAGCAGAGAAAGAGTTACTAACATCAACCGAACAACTCAGGCTATAAATGTATATAAAGCAGTTACAAACCCAGATTTCATCCAACTTTCCTTTTTCTTCCCACCTCCCTAATTTCAGGGAGGGTCCTGGAACAAGGACCAAGTTGGAGCAATCAATTAACCGTCATAATTCTGACTCGGGCCAAAAACATGCCATTTTTCCTTGCCATTTCCTTGCAAATATGTTTGCCACTGAGGACAGAGCTGCTTTCTGAAGATCAGTAACTAGGTTTAAAATGTCCCCAGTTTCCCCTGCAGATATTCAATGATTCTGTAAACCAGGATGTTTCATCACAGACTACGGCTTACCTTCCTTGGCTTCACTTTGTCGTGATAGTCATACTGGAAGATCCCTTTGTAGCTGAGTCCTAACCACCACGGGATTCCCTGCTTATCCTAGGAGGATGGGGAGAAACAAGAATAAATTACTTCATTCTTTTACCTTCATTCTTTTACCTTTTACTATTTAATCGAGAATTAAGGAGGCATTTCCTAACAGGGAGGACAATTACCCAGTGGAACAGCTTAGAGTAGTGGCCAAAATTGGGGAAAATTCTTTGAGAAAAGTGTATTTTTGAGGTTTGATAGCTAATAACATCACTTTTTTTTTGGACTTTCAAGATAATCCTATTCCACTGCTGGGAATAGCCCAGACCTTCACCCAATTGAAAATCTATGGAGCCAACTAAAGAAACTTCGTTAGTCAGAAGCAACCCAGCAATAAAACCCAGTTAATAGAAGCCATCATTCCATCTTGGTTTCACATGATAACAGCTGCAGAACTCAAGGACTTGGTTCACTCCATGGGAAGACGTTGTAAGGCCGTCATTCATGCTAAAGGTGACCCAACGAAGCATTAACTGACATGGGGATGATTTTTGTATATCTCGTTTTTTCTAGGGTGATCACTTTTGTGTATCTCGTTTTTTCTTTGGGAATCATTTTTGTATATTTTGTTTTTTCCACTTTTCTTCTTTATACTGCAACTGCTATTCTAAGAGCAAATCCTCCGTAAAAGTTATTACATTCCATTCTTGATTCAATTATCTTTCCATTGATATGTAATTCTATGGTACTACTACTGCTTCAACACTGGGGGTTTTTAAAGGAGAGATTGGACAGCTATTTGTCTGAAATGGTACAGAGGTTTCCTGCCTTGAGCAGAGGGTTCTCTGTCCAAAATGTGGACTTTGCTGCCTTCAAAAGAGTTGTCCTTTGTCCTTTAAATGCAGATGGACGGCTGAATCTGGTTCTGATGGGTTTGGTCTCCTATGTTGTACCAGGCATTTTATGCTCTTATGCATTTCAGGTATCTTGATTTTTTTCCCCAGTTTGATCTACTTCCCTATGAAGTTTATTTATTTAACCTATGAAGCCATTTATTTGTCGCTAACGCAAAACAGAACGTTCAGAACAGATCCCATATAAATACTGCAGTTGTTCAACCCATTCATGAAATAATCATAATCATAATCATAAGTTTATTTGTCAAGCATATGTAAGATAACAGGTAAAACAGGTAAAAGTACAAACATAATTTGAATACATGAAGGGAGTAAGAGTAAAAAGGAATATTAGGATAGGGACGGAAGGCACGCTGGTGCTCTTATGCACTCCCCTTACAGACCCCTTAGGAATGGGGTGAGGTCCACAATAGACAGTCTAAAGTCTTAAAGTTTTGGGGGTTTGGGGAAGAAACCACAGAGTCAGGTAGTACATTCCAGGCATTGACCACTCTGTTACTGAAGTCGTATTTTCTGCAATCGAGTTTGGAGCAGTTCACCTTGAGTTTGTATCTATTATTTGCTCGTGTATTGTTGTGGTTGAAGCTGAAGTAGTCATTGACAGGAAGGACATTGTGGCAGATAATTTTATGTACTATGCTTAGCTCAGACTGAAGTCGGCGTAGTTCTAAGTTGTCTAAACCCAAAATTTGGAGTCTGGTGGCATAAGGTATTTTATTGCGGGTAGAGGAATGGAGGACTTTTCTCGTGAAATATCTCTGGACTCTCTCGGTTGTGTTTATGTCCATGTGCAGTGCGGGTTCCAGATAGATGAGCTGTATTCAAGAATTGGTCTAGCAAAGGTTTTGTATGCTCTAGTTAGTAGTACAACATTACCAGAGAAGAAGCTACACAAGATTAGGTTAACAACTCTTAATGCCTTTTTGGCAATGTTGTTACAGTGGGTTTTGGCACTTAGATCTTTAGAAATGAGTACTTCAAGGTTCTTGACAGAATGAGGATCATCTACAAGGTCATGTCCATCTAATTTGTATTTTATGTTTTGATTTTTTTTGCCAATGTGCAAGACAGAGCATTTGTTGGTTGAGATTTGAATTACACTTAAATTACAATTAAATTTGAATTAAATTACAATTAAATTTGAATTAAATTATAATTAAATTTGAATTACACTTAAATTACAATTAAATTACATTTTTCAGAGCTCACGCACCTTGACTGCATAATAATGGACTCCATAGGTTGGAAGGGACTCTACAATGCTCATGTAACTGCAAAAGAAACATAAAAATAATAATAATAATGTCAAAGACCCAAACTGCATGATAGTTAATGCAAAACCGCAATACTGACATCTGGGCAACCTTTCTGTTGTGACCTAGGCTTCTGAGTCATTACAAAGCACAATTAGTCCCCAAAAAACCCTATTTTATTGTAACAGCTAAGAATTATGTTCATTCCGAGCCGAGTCCCAATTAGTTGCAAAACAAGTCCTTCGGAAGAAGTCCTTCAGGATAATCACCAACCTTTATCTTCTTTGACACCCTGCCAAAGGCCTTACTTGGCAAAGCCCCACAAAGTTCAGAAACAAACAAGAGATGCCGACTGGAAACAGAGTTAGCAACGTTGCTTTCCTTCAAAAGGCCTCAAGTGCCTCTGTTTCTCTTTTAAGCCTTATGGGAGGGGCCAATCAACTCCTGGCCTTACTCCTGAGTCATCCCTTTTGCTTTAGCTGTTCTTGCCTTCTGGCAGCTCTGCGCATGCGTGCACTAGGAACAGGCTCCTCCTGTTCCTCTGTCTCTCTGCTGTCCGACTCTGGGGGCTCCGGAGTCCGCACATCACTCCCAGGCCCTGGCCCCATCTCTGCCTCCGACGCAGAGCCCTCGTCTGAGCCTTCCCCAGACTCCAGGACTGGCCCATGTTCCTCCCCAGCCTCCTCACTGTCTGACTCCACTGCCAGCTCCGCAGGCTCCTGGCGGACCACAACACTTTTTAGAGCCATCTTTGCAATCCAACCTTGCATCCTTTAAACCCCCAAAAATTGCAATTCATGTCACTTAAACATCATAATGCTTTACTTTAAAAACAGTGCAGAAAAACAGAGCAACCAGGATGATGAGGGGACTGGAGGCTAAAACCTACGATGAACGGTTGCAGGAACTGGGCCTGGCTAGTCTAGTGAAGAGAAGGACCAGGGAGACAGGAGAGCAGTCTTCCAATATTGAGGGGCTGCCACATACAGGAGGGGGTCAAGCTATTTTCCAAGGCACCCGAAGGCCAGACAAGAAATAATGGATGGAAACTGACCAAGGAGAGACCAAGTTCACCAGACCAAGGTCACCTGATTCACCAGTTGCGTCCCTTTCTGGATCGGGACTCCCTACACACAGTCATTCATGCCCTCGTCACCTCCCGCCTGGACTATTGTAACACTCTCTACATGGGGCTCCCCTTGAGGAACACCCGGAGGCTTCAACTGGCGCAGAGTGCAGCCGCGCGGGTGGTTATGGGAGCAATGTGGCGCTCCCGTGTGACACCTCTCCTGCGCGAGCTGCACTGGCTCCCGGTGGTCTTCCGGGTGTGCTTCAAGGTTTTGGTTACCACCTTTAGAGCGCTCCATGGCTTAGGACCTGGTTATTTATGGGACCACCTACTACCACAAACAGCCTCCCACCGGCTGGTACGCTCCCATAGAGAGGGGCTCCTCCGGTGCCGTCAGCCAAGCAGTGTCGACTGGTGGCCCCCAGGGGGAGGGCCTTCTCTGTGGGGGCACCCACTATCTGGAACAAGCTCCCCCCGGAGATACGGAGGATCCCGGATCTGCGCACTTTCCACCGTGCTCTTAAGATCTTCCTATTCCAGCAAGCCAGCCTGGCCTAATTTTTCCCCTTTCTTTTAAATTTTTAAATTGAAATTTTAATTTGTTTTAAATTATTGGGATTTTTAATTGTCTTGGGCTAAATTATTTAATTTGGTTTTAATTCTGTTTCTAACTTTTGTATTTGTGTATTTTATTTTGTGCCTGTTCACCGCCCTGAGTCCTTCGGGAGTAGGGCGGTATATAAATTTAATAAAGCATAAACAAACAAACCATGAGATGCAGAATTCGCACCAGCCAAAGTTTTCTGTGTCCAGAATTCCCTTTTGTGACTTACTTGACAATAGCTTGGCCTCTGGTCTGTCCATTCAGCTTCTTGTAATGCTCAATCACTCGATCCTCACTTGGAAAAAAAGAGGGGGGATTTAATTTAGCAGGCAGAGCTGAAAAAGTATGATGGGATTTCATAGTAGGAGATACCAGCTCCTCGGTGATCAAGAGATCGCAGAGGTCTCTGGGATCAACTGAATATATAGCCGAAAGGAGCATTTACAGCTGTGTATTTCAGTCCCCTGTGAAAATGAAGGTGGGGGCACTTCTGCACTTGCATTGGTCTTGGATTGCAGAGACCCGAATCAGATCCCCAATTGATCAAGGAGATCACTGAATGACTATGGATCAGCCGCTCTCTTCCAACCGCCTCGGAGTATAGTTATGGGAATAATTTTAGAACGATAATTCTATCGTTAAAAGTTGTGTTTCTCAACCTTGGCAACCTGAAGACGTGTGGATGTCCAGCAAGGGCTCGGGGAGTTGGAGTCCTCTTCAAGCTGCCAAGGTTGGAGAAACATAGTTCGAGAAGTTGCCTTGAGCTTTCAGAGAAAAAAAAAATGGGAAAAATGATTTAATTTTTTTTTTAATAAAGAAAGATGTCTACTCACACAAGATTTAATCCCATTAACATGGCTATCATAGCTTTTAAGCACAGCCTCCTGATGCTTGATTTCATTTTGAGATGACAAACTTTGCATTCTAGTAGTTTAAATGGAAGAATTGATCGATCAAGTGAAATTTAAGATAACATTGTGTTCTACTCTGAAAAGAAATCTTCCCTGAAATCCATGAGGAACTGATGGCTATAATTTGAGATTGGAAAAAAAAGAATAAGAACGTAGAAAGAACGCGGCTCCTGTAAGTCAGAACTTATTACGGACTTTGAGAAGTTTCCCCCAAGAACTGTAGTAAGAATTTCACAGAGTAAACACAGGGCAATTTTCTCCAGATTTTCTTGCCCTGGTGCAACACTCCTTTTGCAGAGAAAGGGGGGATCAGCCGTTGCAATGAGTGGGTGGGCCGGAGAGAGAATAAATAAAGGTTGCCCAGCCACAAAATGAAAAGCACATTCCCTTTGCTGTCATCAAATTACAACGGTGGAGAAATTAAAGGGGAAGCCGATAAGATGGCCGGGAGCCAAAAGCCTTCAAAAAAAAAAAGACATGAAAGAATCCAAATGAACCGTGGAAGGCAGAAGTCTTTCTTTCCGCTTCCTGGACAGATTCATATTTTGTGCTGATGAAAGAGACAGAAGGGGCAGTTCCCTTAGGGCAGTGTTTCTCAACCTTGGAAGCTTGAAGATGGGTGGACTGCAACTCCCAGAATCCCCCAGCCAGCGCTGCTGGCTGGGGGATTCTGGGAGTTGCAGTCCACCCATCTTCAAGCTACCAAGGTTGAGAAACACTGCCTTAGGACTCCCCATTTATTTTAAATTGGGTGCTTCCAACTCTTCTAACATACCAGTGGATTTAATTCTCAGCCTAGCAGGAGGAGAAAATGGGAGATTATTCCTCGGGCAGAAGTTCTCCCAAACTCCATCTCAATCTCCCGGCTCTTTATCCTGGAGAAGGTTTGTAGTAGATACCCAACGCAAAGGAGGCAACGGCCTTTCCTTATGTTATAGACCGTGGACAATGACGACTAACCTTTTTGCCATTGTGTGCCAGGAGTGAGGGTGGGGGTTGGGGGATCGCGTGTGTGTGTGAGATCATACCCATAATTCTATGCGCCCTGCCCCCACGCATGTGCACACGAACCCCCCCCGTTCCCCCTGCTCCTGGCACGCGATGGCCTGGTAGGCCTATTTTTCTCTCTCTCTAGGCTCCAGAGCCTTTCCAGGAGTCTGGGGAGCGTGAAAATGGCCTTCCCCACCCCCCCAGAGGCCCTCCGGAGGCCGGAAATGGCCTGTTTTGCCAACTTCCGGTAGGACCGGAAGGCCTGTTTTTTCTGTCTCCAGGCTCCAGAGTCTCTCTAGGAGTCTGGGGAGGGTGAAAACAGTCTTCCCCACCCTCCCAGGCCCTCCAGAGGCCGGGAACAGCCCATTTGCCAACTTCTGGTCCTCTGGAAGGCCTGTTTTTTGCTGTCCCCAGCTCCAGAGCCTCTCTAGGAGTCTGGGAGGGTGAAAACAGCTTTCCCCACCCTCCCGGAGGTCCTCAGGAGGCCAGGAACAGCCCGTTTGCCAACTTCCGGTCTGGTCTGGAAGCGCTGGAGCTGAGCTCGCGTGCCCACCAATATGGCTACATGTGCCACCTGTGGCACACGCGCCATAAATTTGCCATCACAGACCTAGGATGAAACCAGTTGGGTACAGCCATTTGGTAAAAAGTCTGGGAAGGTTTTACAGCAGAGGTTGTATTCAGCTGGTTCGGACCGATTCGCCCGAACCGGTAGCAGAAATCGTGGGTAGGTCTGCCTGGCTCTATGCCATTTATTTAGGCATGTTTTTGAGGCTGGGCACATATGCGGAAGGTGCGCACACGAACAAAGAGCATGCATGGAAGACCGGGCGCATGTGCGTAAGGCAGGCGCATGTGCGAACCGGGCACATGTATGCATGAAGCGAATGTGCACACACGGGGTGAACCGATAGTAACATAATGTGAAACCCACCTCTGGTTTACAGGTAGCCTTCAGCCTACAACCAGTAATTTAGGGGTCTTTTGAAGTTCTGGAGATTTATCTGGGGTCTAGTTTTGGTCTAGGTTTTAGGTTCCAATGGTTGGGCTCTCCCTCCCCACAGTCATGCCATGGCCTCTTGGTTGTGTGGCAACTGGCCATACAGGTGAGTATCTCCACCACCTGGCCATCAGGCCACTCGGGGTAGAACTTACTAAAGATGTCAAATATTTACCAATAAGCCAGAGATGGGTGCTCCTTGAGGGCTTGCGTCGGAAGCGCCGGCAATTTCTTCAAGTCCGTCCTTACAGTTTCATTGCTGGAAAAAAAGAGAAGAATACAAAAGAAAGAAAGAAATTCAGTTTCTATGCAGGTTAACCCGGAGATGAGATTGAAGGGTTGAACCTTGATTCTTGATGAATGGAATGCTGTGAAAGGGATCCTTTGCCATTTCTCTTCCTTTATTTTGCTGGAAGAGAAGAGAAGATGGACGGGAAGGGAAAGGAAGAAAGAAGAGAAGAGAAGAGAAGGAAAGGGAAGATGGAAGGGAAAGAAGAGAAGAGAAGAGAAGATGATGGACGGGAAGGGAAAGGAAGAAAGAAGAGAAGAGAAGGAAAGGGAAGATGGAAGGGAAGAAGAGAAGAGAAGAGAAGGGAAGAGAGATGGACGGGAAGGGAAAGGAAGAAAGAAGAGAAGAGAAGAGAAGAGAAGAGAAGGAAAGGGAAGATGGAAGGGAGAAGAGAAGAGAAGAGAAAGAGAAGAGAAGAGAGAGAAAAAAGAGAAGAGAAGAGAAGATGGACGGAAGGGAAAGGAAGAAAGAAGAGAAGAGAAGAGAAGAGAAGAAAGAGAAGAGAAGAGAAGGAAAAGATGGAAGAAGAAGAGAAGAGAAGAGAAGAGAAGAGAAGATGGATGGAAGAAAAAGAAAGGAAGAGAAGAGAAGAGAAAGAAGAGAAGGGAAGAAAGGGAAGGGAAGGGAAGATGGAAGAGAAAGAAGAGAAGAGAAGAGAAGAAAGAAGAGAAGAGAAGAGAAGGTCCACATATTCTCCAAAACACCTGAAGGCAGGACAAGAAGCAATGGATGGAAACTAATCAAGGACAGAAACAACCTAGAACTAAATAATAAATTCCCTGATAGTTAAAACTATTGTTTTTTTTTTTTCTTTGAGCCCTGGTGGCGCGGTGGTTAAAATGTGGTATTGCAGGCTAATTCTGCCGACTGCCAGGTTTTTGGCGGTTCAATGCTGACCAGCTCAATTATGACTGCCTCAATTGTTGGGAGCAATTATGCTGACTCTATAAACCACTCAGAGGGGGCTGCAAAAGCACCGTGAAGCGGTATATAAGTCTAAGGGCTATTGTGGTTTATTTTCTTTTTTCTTTGTATTTTGGTAAACGAATTAAAAAAAAAAATGAATTCAAAACATCGTTATATTTGAAAACAGAGTGTGGAAAGCCATATGTGCAAGGAAGGAAGGAAGGAGAAAGTTTTGAAAGGAAGCCAGCTCTCTCTCTCTCTTTCCAGATTTTTATGACTTCCATAAATCCTCCAAGGAGCCATTGCTGATCAGAGATCTCCAGCCGGAGTGGCTTTTCCTGCCTTGACAAGTCCTTTGTTGCCCCCCCACCCCATCCCTCGGCCCGCTTGGAGGGTGAGTGGGGAGTGCGTTTCCTGTGGGAAGGCGAAGGCTTTCCTGCAAGGCTGAGAAACTTGGCCAAAACACCATTAAAAAAAAAAAGAGGAAAATTCCTGGATGGAGACTCCGCTGAGATTCTGACTCGCCCAACGAAAGGAACTCTGTGACTATGCCTTTTGTGTGCATTAATTTTGGAATAAAAAAAATGTTTTTAAAAAACAGCAAACAGAAGTCATGAAAACACATCTCTCTTGTGTGCTGATAGATAGATAGATAGATAGACAGACAGATATGAGAGAGAGAGCAGTAGGCAGATAGACAGATAGACAGACAGAAGATATATACTCAGCGGGCCGCCGATAAAAAGGTTGGGGACCACTGCATAGATATAGCAATAGATAGATAGATAGACAGACAGATAGATAGATAGATAGATAGATGATAGATAGATGATAGATAGATAGATAGATGATAGATAGATGATATAATAGATAGATAGATGATAGATAGATAGATAGAGATAGATAGATAGATAGATAGACAGATAGATAGATAGATAGATAGCTATAGATAGATATGAGAGAGAGAGGTAGGCAGATAGATACAGTAGATGATAGCAATAGATAATAGATAGATAGATAGACAGATAGATAGATAGATAGATGATAGATAGATAGATGATAGATAGATATAGATAGATAGATAGATAGATGATAGATAGATGATAGATAGATAGATAGATAGATAGATGATAGATAGATGATAGATAGATGATAGATAGATGATAGATAGATAGATGATAGATATAGTTAGATAGATAGACAGATAGATAGATGATAGATAGATAGATGATAGATAGATAGATAGATAGATAGATAGATAGATAGATAGCTATAGATAGATATGAGAGAGAGAGGTAGGCAGATAGATACAGTAGATGATAGCAATAGATAGATAGATAGATAGACAGATAGATAGATAGATAGATAGATAAAGATGATAGATAGATGATAGATAATAGATAGATGATAGATAGATGATAGATAGATAGATAGATAGATAGATGATAGATAGATGATAGATAGATAGATGATAGATAGATGATAGATAGATGATAGATAGATAGATAGATGATAGATAGTTAGATAGATAGACAGATAGATAGATGATAGATAGATAGATAGATGATAGATAGATATAGATAGATAGATGATAGATGATAGATAGATAGATAGAGATAGATAGATGATAGATAGATAGAAATAGATGATAGATAGATGATAGATAGATAGATGATAGATAGATGATAGATAGATGATAGATAGATAGATAGAGAGATAGATAGATGATAGATAGATGATAGATAGATAGATAGATGATAGATAGATAGAGAGAGATAGATAGATGATAATAGATAGATAGATATATAGATAGATGATAGATAGATAGATGATAGATAGATGATAGATAGATGATAGATAGATAGAGAGATAGATAGATAGATAGATGATAGATAGATAGATAGATGATAGATAGATGATAGATAGATAGATAGATGATAGATAGATGATAGATAGATGATAGATAGATAGAGAGAGAGAGATAGGCAAATAGACAGACAGACAACAGATAGATACACAATGTTAATCTAAAGGAGTCTGGGAGCTCCTTTTTGGAGGTAATAAATGCTGAAGGCCAAAGCTTTGGTGAATCACAGCTCCTTCCATCAGACGCAATGCAAGGCTTGGCTAAATTAAAATGTAGGCCTTGAAAAGGGGATGAGGCAGCGGAAGAGGAGAGAGGACAGCTATGCAGATGCAGATTACATGCCAGACAGATTACAAGCACTTCACCCATTAGCACCTATCTTGTGTGTTAAAAATTCCTGCTGCTTGTTAAAAGCCTTGTTGGGTGATAGGCTAAGACCTTTTGATGTGTGTAAGTTGGGCAAGCTGCCAGTCTATCATGCCGGCACAGTTTCCTTCTTTTAAAAAAGCAGGAATCTCCTGAATCTGTAATGGAAAGTCCCGGGAAATTGACATAAAATCAATGATGTTGCTGGGTCCTTATTTTGAGCCAAAGGAAGATCTTTTCGGTAGAAGGGCTCAAGGCGCCACAAAAGCGTGGCAGGATTTTTGATTTCACGTTCTTCACTGAAAGAATGAATTTTATTATGTTAGCTTTAAGTAACCTTCCCTCCAAGACAGGAGTGGGCTTCAAAAATTTTAGCAAGGGGTTCTCTGCCTGGTTGCTGGGGGGGCGTGGCCATGGTGGGCGCGGTCTACTGGGCCTCCTGCACCATGGCAGGGGGGCATTTTTACCTCCCTGTGTCAGGTTTCAGTGTCGTCTCAAAATAAATTGCATTTCCAAACAAATAGTCTTTGATGAAATCTTTCATTTATTAAGCACGACAATCTGTCCCCGATCATATCGTAGCCAACACTGACTTCCTGACCCCAAACCTTCCTTTTCCGTTCCCCAATTCTCTGCGTCTCATTGGCCATCTTCCAAATCACTCTTCCCATATCTACTACTTCAGCTCCCAGGAATGTCCCCCCTCCCATCCCATCTCCTAGGAGATATTATCTTCAGGGAAAATAAGTAGGTGAAAAGTCAAGCGTCCTCTTGCCAGCTGCCCCTTCTCCTTCTTATGTCAGCACTGGATGAAGTAGTTGGAGTGCTGACACTCTGGACTCCAGAGGCTTTTCTTGAGCCTCCGGGAGGGTGAAAACGACCTCCCCAGGCTCAGGAGGCCCTCTGGAGGCCCAAATGGGCCCTTTTCTGGCCTTCCTGAACTTCTGGTAGGCCCGTTTTTCTCCCTCCCCAACCCTCCGCGTGCCCTGCACTTACCAGCATCCAAAACGGGCCGTGTGGGGACTCCTGGGAGGGGCAGGGTGGGCAGGACCTGCCAGAAGTGGATTTGGGGGTTTCTGAACTGCACAGAATCTTAGCTAGAGGTTCTCTCCTGAACCCCTGCGGACCCCCAGCAGCCCCACCCCTGCTCCAAAACCCATAACCTGGTGTTATGTTTTTCCTACTACGGATGCTACAAGTTTAATTTACAGTAGAGTCAGCCCATAGCCAAAACATGGACCCAGGGCTAAAAGCTTTCATAAAGTCCTTGTATTTAATCCCATCTGCTAGCTTCATAAACCAGTATAAAGCATTACAGGTAGTCCTTGACTTACAACGGTTCTTTTAGTGACCGTTCAAAGCTACAACGGGACTGAAAAAAGTGACATGATGACCGTTTTTCACATTTACGGCCGTTGCAACAAGCAAAGTCGACGGGGAAGCCAGATCCGCTTAACAACGTTACGAAATCAACAAGTGCGACGATTCACTTAACAACGGTGGCAAGCAAGGCCGTGAAACGGGGCAGGCGAAACTCCCTGAACAAGTGTCTTGCTTAGCAACAGAAATTTAGGGTCCACAATTGTTGGTTGTAAGTCGAGGACTACCTGTATTCTTTGAGTCCGTAAACGGGTTACGTCCTCATTGGGCACTAAATGGAGAACAGAGGCCTATTTATTGATTCATTGAAGAGAATTTATTTGGCCGCCCACTCAGTGACTCTGGGAGGCTTACCAACGTTGATTAATATATTGGTTATTGTTGGCCAAGAACCAGGGCCTTTATGACAACTACTCACAGGAATAAAAATGGGGTGGGGATTTTTTTTAAA